TAGCTTGGGGTTCATCTCTCTCAACTTTGTTTAGTTAGGAGAGAACACAGAACTGAATGCCAAAGGCCCAACTGTGATTCATGCTGACAGTTTGCTGTCTCCTGAACCTGAGTGAGGATACACCTCTGACAAGCAATGCCAGGGCTCTTTGTCTATGTTTCTGGAAGTCCCTTGTCTATTTCCCCAGCATCAGGGGTCCCAGCACCCTAGGCAGAGTGTCAAAGAAGGCCTATGTCAGAGCCTATGGAGGGAGGAGGCAGCCTGGGCTTGGGGTCTGTGAACTACTATGACAGCCCTGACTGTAGCAGAGGCATAGCAGGGATCAGCAGTTCTCTTTATACACCAGATGACCATTAACCAAGGGGAAGGACAAGTCCTGACAGGGCTCATAGACCCTAAACACCAATCTCCAGCTGTTCAGGAGGAACTAAGGAAAGAGGAGAGGCAGTTAGCTGGGGGAGAGGTGGGCTGTAGCCCAGGTACCATGGCTGGGATGAGAGCCAGGCCATCCGTGTTCTGAGCTGCTCCCAGGCTTGCTTCTCACAGCAAGGGATGGAACCTGGGTCTCCTGCATTGCAGGTGGATTCTTTACCATCTGAGCCACCAGGGAAGAGGTATCAGTTAATTTTTGTTAAACTGAAGAACTCTCCCACAACCTCAATAGTACAGGGCTCTTGAAACTGAGAGGAAATAAGTTAACTCTTCTTGCCTTCCTGGTACATATGGCTTCAGCAGCCTTCCCACTCAGGGTTTATACATTCTTCCATCTTCCCACTGGTACTACCACCTACTTACTACATGCCTTTTCCTCACCCCAATCCCCATCTTCTAGTTCAACTTAGGGCCAAAGCTGCTCTGCCTCACAGGTGAGAATGGGCCCATCCAAGCTTAAAATTCCCATTGGCTTTTGTGACTCAAGGGGGGTTAGGAAGTAGTGTGGAATAGTAGAGAATCAGCACTGGTGTCAGACAGACCTGGGTTTGACTCCTATCTCATTTACCAGTTGCATGACAAGGTGAGTTTTTGCACTTCGCTGAGCCTCAGTTTTCTTTTTTTTTTTTTCTTTAATACATTTTTTATTTATTTTGGCTTCACCGGGTGTTAGTTATGGCATGCAGGATCTGGAATCTTCCAGCTGAGGCATGCAAACTCTTAGTTGTGGTGTGTGAGAACCAGTTTCCTGCCCACAGGTTGAACCCAGGCCCCCTCCATCAGGAGCGTGGAGTCTTAGCCACTGGACCCGCAGGGAAATCCCCGAAGCAGACTTTTATTTATTTATTTTTGGCTGTGCTGGGTCTTCACTTGCTGCTCAGGCTCCCCCCGCCCCAGCCCCCAGTAGGGGAGAGCGGGGCTACTCTCGCTCTCTGTAATTGCAGTGCGTGGGCTTTGGGGCTCACAGGTTTCAGCAGTTGCAGCACCGGGGTTCGGTAGTTGCGTGAGCCTCAGTTTTCTATGTATAAAACATAAAGACTAATGCCTTAGGACAGGTTCCTCCAGAAGTGGACCTAATTTGAGAGAAATTTAATTGGGAAGCAATCTAGGCCAGGGTTAGGACTAGGGCAATGCATGAGAAGTGCCAGCTACAAAATGTGGAGAAACCCTGTCAAGTTCATAGTGTCAACTCTTCCTTTGCATGAACTAAAGAGTGAGGGCCCCTCACCTCAGTCCCAGCCCTGATCTAGGAAGCACTGACAGTAGTTGGAAATGAGACAGAAAGGGAAGGAAGTCAACAGAACATAAATAATTAAGCTGCTGCTGAGCTGAGAGCTCCTGAAGTTCAATCCCTGAGGGAACTCTGGTGAGGTGAGGAGGCTGGGGAATTTATGCTCCAAATTCCATTTTCACTGGTTGAGGGCTGCCTCAGAGGCCCTCACTTCCTGGCACTCCCAGCTAGCCGGCACACTAGCCTAGAGAAGTGCTAAGGCAGAGAGTTGCAGGTCCTTGCAATAGGACCCTGTGGGTATGCAATAGAACAATGAGTGCCCAGGGGAAATGGGCAAGGCACAGCCTCAGTTAGAGGGCTGTTATCAGGATGAAGTGAAATGACACAACCAGGGTAGAGGGGGCTGTTATCAGGATGAAGTGAAATGACACAACCACCGTGCCTAATAGAAAAGTTACCTTCTCCTTCCCCATTCATCACAATGCCTTGTGAATTTCATGGAGTTTCCCAGCTCCTCCAGTTGACAACACTAGCAGAACAGCTGCTTCCCTTCTTTAAGAAGTAAAACAAAAACAAGAAACAAAACCCCAAAACCTGATGGCCTGAGGCAAGCTCTAGACACCTGAGTTTGCTGTGCAAGGCTGGTACTTGATGGAACTAAGGTCATCAAACTGTATCCTCTCACATCTGCACATCACCTCTCTGGCTTTTCCACCTCTCACTGTGACACTACTTAAGACATACAAAACTAGCATCACACTGAAATAACAACTACTGCCAGTCACTCACCTTCTATGAGATAGATACTGTGCTTTTATATACATTATCTTACTCTTTAGAACCCTGTAAGCTTTCCCCCAATTCAGAGAAAAGGAAACGAGCTCTCAGAGATGTTAACTTGTATCAGAAGCAGAGTTTCAGATTCAGTTCAGTTCAGTCACTCAGTGGTGTTTGACTCTTCGTGACCCCATGGACTGCAGCACGCCAGCCTTCCCTGTCCATCACCAACTCCCAGAGTCTACTCAAACTCATGTCAAGTCAGTGATGCCATCCAACCATCTCATCCTCTGTTGTCCCCTTTTCTTCCCACCTTCAATCTTTCCCAGCATCAGGGTCTTTTCAAGTGAGTCAGTTCTTCGCATTAGGTGGCCAGTTTCAAGCTGATGTCATACTCTTTCCACTGACTTTGCCTCTTCACTGTCTAAGGTCCCTCACACAGAACCACCAGTATTGGGAGAATAAGACAAATGAGCAAGCAGCCTTTTCCAAAGACAGAGATGGGAGGGCCTAGGGAGATACCTGTTTTCTCCTGATTCCACATTAGTTAACAAATAAGCCTATCAGTAGTAGTCCTGCTGATCTACACCCTCCTCCAACAATTTGCCACTGATTCATTTTCTAGGGAGACTGCTCAACTATAAGTTAAATAATTCCCTTTCCAGAATCAGTCCTTTCCCTATTCTTATCTCCAGGCAGAGAGATAAACATACTACCCTGTTTAAAGAACTTTACCTCCAATAAACTGCCATTTACTGAGAAAGAAAACTAGTGAAAGTTAAAGTGATGGGACATAACTGATAAACTACTTTTCATTAGAAGGAAAATGGGAAAATAATCAATACTAGTGTTTTTGTTAGCACTGAAGAGGCAGAGCACTGTAGTCTCACTGCCAAGGACAAAAAGTGTTTTTTTATTTTTTTACTCAAGCCTCTGTTTCCTCATCTGAAAATTGGCCGGGGGGGGGGGGGGGGTGGTGGTGTGTGTGGATAATACCTACCTTATAAGACTGCTGTGAAGATTAAACAAAGGCAGACACATTGCCTGAACCATAGCAAATGCTCAAAAAATAACAGCAATTATTTATGTGATGCTGGCCACAATGTCAGTGCCATCCAACACCACGACATGGAAGAAACAGAGTGAGCCTGCCATCCTGCCTTCTTCTAACTCTAAGAGCTTGTATGCAAAGGCAGCTAGGCAGGAAACAGTGCATTAAAAGCCTGTGCTGTGCCCTACATCAAGCTATCTCTCAGCTTCCCAGTCTAACATATACTTCACATTTGTTTTAAAATAAAGGAAGGACTTCCCTGATGGTCGAGTGGCTAAGACTCTGAGCTCCCAATGCAGGGGGCCTGGGTTCAATCCCCAGTCAAGGAACTAGATCCTATATGCTGCCAAGAGTCTGCATGTCGAACTAAAGATTACTGCCACAACCAAGACCCAGTGCAAATAAATGAATTAAAATAAATTTTAAAAAATAAAGGAAAAGAAAATTTTCGACTTGGTAAATCAGAAGTCAGGAGAGTCTGAGTAGTGTCCCATTTATCCTGTCCCAAGATCCTTTCCTGCTTGGTAGTCACCTCATACCAACTTCCACTATAACATCAAATCAACTTGGGCCAATGCTGGTTTTCTCAACATCCTTGTTTGGTCATCTCCCTTAAGTAGTTGCTTCTGCCATTCAACATCCTCTCATCTTTGGAGTCTGTCTGTGCACTGAGGACAGACCACAGCTCTGTTCTTCACTGGAAGATCCTGAGCAACAAGGTTGAGAACATGCATTCCTCTACTGATGTACTGAAATAGAAGTTACTTCCTGTGGCTGCTATGGCCTCTTTTGGCAAGAGAAGCAATCTCAGCTTTAGCAGATGAATATGAAAGGCATCTCCACTGGTTAATCCAGGAAGAAAAAATAATTGTATAGAAATTAATAACTTGAGAGTTCATTTACAAATTCCTGGAAAGAATGACTGGGCATATTCCTTCAAAGGTCCTGTGCTCTGGCTGAGAATTCTTAACTGGGTAAGGCAGCAAGATGAAGCAACAAGTCACTGAACAGTAACGACAGCAGAAAAGAAGTAGTATTCAATCCCTTGGCATCTTCCAGAATGATGTCAGAGAAGGTCAAAACAGTAAAACTGTACACTACACATTCAGTGAATATATGCAGTATGTCAGAGACCAGTAATGGAATTCCAAAACATGCAATTTATGAGTCTGAGAACTAGCTCCATAATTAAAACACCCCACCCCAAGCCCTGCAACACAGAGACAAAAAGGAAACTCTCCATCTTATTGAAATAAGACTTCATACAAACATAGATAAATATATTTAAATTTTCTTTTTAACTATATGTGAATTCAAACAGATTGTTATAAAACAGAACACTACACACAGTTGTCTGTATAGCTCATAGAAAACATAAAAACCAGAATGCTGAGTAGATGCTGGTAGTAGAAACTGTAGGGGCAAAACTTCCTTAACAATGAACTGCAGGCCACAAACATGGCAGACTTCTATTGCTAATGATTTTGTCAACCTTCGGACCCTAGAAATTCAGGATTTCCTCCTTCTTCCTCTACCTGCTTTGGTTTGTGTCTGGCTACGTGGCTGGACAGTAAGCTGCTTTTTAAGGTCCACTAAGCAATCTGTGGCTTCTGAAACAGAAACAAAAGACTTGATGGGAGACTCATTTGAATCGAGATGTGTAAGGGAACTCTCCATCTCTCTGCTGCAGCCTGCTTCTTCTAGCCCTGGTGAAGACACCCTAGAGAGGAGAAAAAAACATCAGAATTCAAGATACACCTACTAATAAGCAATAAGTATGTGTCTCAGGGGTATTTACATATACTACTAGCTCACATAATCTTTGGAATAATTCAATCAGATAAGTACTGTCATTTCCCTTTCACAGCTGAGGACACTGGTTAAATCATACACCCAAAGCTACACAGTCAGGCAGTGAGGAAATGAGGCTTCAGACCCAAATTCCCAAACTGCTTGCATTCTAAGTCAAAAGATGAGGGCTGGGTAGGGATAGACAGGCAAAAAAGAGTAAGACAGCTTTTTCTGTGCTTACATTAACACCATGAGTGCACAGAGGTAGTCATCCAATTCTTAGCCTAGACATATGAGGGTCACAGAGTTATATCGAGAGTGGTCACACAGCTCCACAGCTTTCTACTTCAACTGCTTGAATACCACATTATACACAGAATATAGGACCAGGCCTGTACTTTTCTAAAACTGTTGACAGCCACACTTCAATGCACACCCCAATTCACCTGAAGGCTCCTGTTTCTGAAAACTTGGTCTTTATCTCTGCATCTGTGATAGGAGAGAAAAAGTAATAATTTTTTTAGTAGTGCTACAATCATAATACTTTTCACTGATCATGTGCTCCTATGTTCTGGGCACTGCTTTTCATCAGGTTTATCCAGGTAGCTCAGATCTCCAATCCCCAAACCAATGGAATGTGAGCATTAGCATCCAATAGGCTGAGCTGCAGAAGTACAGAGGTGAACACTTTTGAATGAATAACCACTGAATAAACCTACTTCAAGTCTGGACTTGAGGAACAACGAGTTGCCAAGGGAAATATGCTACCTGCAGATCTATGATCTGCTGACCTAAAGGCAGCAGGCTATGGGGCTCAGAGAAGCAGCCTTTTTATAGTCATCACAAAACACAACAGATTTACTTGGTGGGAATGAACTATTAGAACTAAATGGCAAGCAAATCTCATCAGACCTAAGCAAAAGTTCCTCTTTCATCTACAACTAGTAAATTTTAACAAAAGCAACTACCAACAACAAGAACAATAATAATAATAGCAGCTAATAATAATAATAGCAGCTAACATTTATCAAGAGCCTATTTACATCAGGGAATATATGTGGAGTTTTACTAGATATAATCCTTTCAATATATGAAGCTGGTATCACTAACTCCATGCAATGCTACAGACTCTCAGGAGGATAGGTAGAGACACTAAGCTAAGGGTAACATGAATAATGCACGAAACATCAGGAGAAGACAGTAATGTCTGGTTTTCAGTGTAAAAGGTATTTAGGGCTTGTGCCATTGCCCTATAATTTGGAAATGTTTTTTCCCCAGTTTAACAGACAGTAGAAAGCTCAAGCTTTATAAAAGCTGAAACAAAACACATGATAAATAAGACAGAGTATTTCATATTCCTTAGGGAGAGATGATCTAGATCAAGTCTCAAAGGCCAGCTGATTGGGTCAAATGTGTACCCTCATAACTCTAGTAAAAACTGTAGTAAAAGAGTTGGTAGTGGCTATGTTTACTGGAAGGCCTTAGGCAGAAGCTCAGAAAACTGGTCCTGAGGGCCTCACCTGCAGTCCTGTACTCAGATTGTTCCAAGAGACGGAGGAGACGACCTTCATTTTGGCCTTTATCCTGTGTCAGAAAGAGAGATGAAAAGGTTACACAGAGAGTCTAAAATACAACTTCCTAAAAAAAAATAAAATAAAATACAACTTCCTTAGCCTAGATCACAGATATCTCCACGTGAGAAGAGGTGTGGGGACATAGCTGAATGGAAGTCATTTGCTTTCTAATAAAGGAGGGTACACAATTGAAAAAAAAAAAGGTGGGGGGGCTTCTCTGCTGACTCAGGTGGTAAAGAATCTGCCTGCAGTGCAGGAGACCTGAGTTCGAACTCTGGGTCAGGAAGATCCCCTGGAGAAAGAAATGGCAACCCACTCCAGTATTCTTGCCTGGAGAATTTCATGGACAGAGCATCCTGGCAGGTTACAGTCCATGCTGTCTCAAAGAGTCCAACACAACTGAGTGACTTAATCACTTTTACACAGTAAAAAAGCAAATATGATTAACAGATACATCTTTATGCCAAGAATATATCCAGGAATGGATACCAGAGTCAAGGCAAATTATTCTCAGTTCAGTCACTCAGTTGTGTTCGGCTCTTTGTGACCCCATGGACTGCAGCATGCCGCCAGCCTTCCCTATCCATCACCAACTCCTGGAGCTTGCTCAAACTCATGTCCGTTGAATCAGTGATGCCATGCAACAATCTCATCCTCTGTCTTCCCCTTCTCCTGCCTTCAATCTTTCCCAGCATCAGGGTCTTTTCCAATGAGTCAGTTCTTCACATCAGGTGGCCAAAGTATTGGAGTTTCAGCTTCAGCATCAGTCCTTCCAATGAATATTCAGGACTGATTTCCTTTAGGATTGACTGGCTTGATCTCCTTGCAGTCAAGGGATTCTCAAGAGTCTTTTCCAACACCACAGTTCAAAAGCATCAATTCTTCGGCACTCAGCTTTCTTTATAGTCCAACTCTCACATCTATACATGACTACTGGAAAAACCACAGCTTTGACTAGATGGACCTTTGTCGGCAAAGTAATGTCTTTGCTTTTTAATATGCTGTGTAAGTTGATTGTGGCTTTTCTTCCAAGGAGACTGCTCTTTATAGTATCGGATTTTACTTCCATCACCAGTAACATCCACAACTGAGCGTTGTTTTCGCTTTGGCTCCGTCTCTTCACTCTTTGTGGAGTTATTTCTCCACTCGTCTCCAGAAGAATATGGGGCACCTACCGACCTGGGGAGTGCCTATTTCAGTGTCATATCTTTTTGCCTTTTCACACTGTTCATGGGGTTCTCATGGCAAGAATACTGAAGTGGTTTGCCATTCCCCTCTCCAGTGGACTACGTTTTCTCAGAACTCTCCACCATGACCTATCCATCTTGGGTGGCCCTACATGGCATGGCTCATAGTTTCATTGAGTTAGACAAGGCTGTGGTCCATGTGATCAGTTTGATTCGTTTTCTGTGATTGTGGTTTATTCTATAATAACCTTTGACCTATGATAGATTTGGAGAAGTTTAAAACAGAAAATAACAAGTTTCAAGTTAGCTTTTAGAGACAGTGATGCCAGAGAAAAAACTCTCTGTGGTATAAACACATACCCATAAGCCTCAATTCCAAATTACAACCTCAGAAATCACCCCATTCATACAGAGGTCCCTTTTTTTCCTCATGACATATTATGGCTTCTCCATCTTGGTGTGCAATGATTGCTATGTCAGTAAGTCTAGAATATGGAGCTGCTGCTTTATCTTTAATTGCAAAGCCAAGACTTGCTCTTCCTGTTCTCTAATCACAAAGGCCAGAACGCACATCTTCCCAGTGACCAGGGTCAGATCCTACGACTTCCTAATAAGGCTAGGAACACGAGGTGTTCAGCAGAGTTGATCGTGAATATGTTCCTGGCAGTGGGGGTATGACTAGAAATACTTTCTGGAAAGTCATTTGGCAATACGTTTCAAGAGATTTTAAACTGTTTAGATTCATTGCCCTAAGAGCTCCACTTCAGGAAATCTATTCTAAGGGAATAATACAAAGACCAATTAATGCTTTAAACATAGCGTCATAATACAAAAGAACTAGAAACAATCTGAATGTCCAATAATATGAGAATGGTTAATTGACTGTGTGATACAAACATTAAGGGTAATTTCAGAAACAGTTTAAAAATATACTTAGGAAGTTTGTTATGCTACAATAACTGTGTATGTACATATACAATTAATTAAAAATGCATAGGAAGAAAAAGACTGGAAAAAAAAAGGCCAAAATACTAAAAGATGTCATCTTTGAGTAACTAAATTATGGGTGATAATTCCCCCTGATTCTTCATACCTTTTTTTTTTAACTTCCTGTATTTTCTATATTAAGTATATACTACTTGAGTATATATTACTTTTATTTAAAAGAAAAAATAATTTTAAAAAGCACAAATCTAGTTTTAAGATAAACAGAAGAAAAGGAAAGAGGGAGGAAGGGGAGAAAGGAAGCCCCGAACAGAAATGTGAAGAACTAGGTAACCTTTCCTAAAACACTCCACACGTACCTTTAGGTTCCTCAGCCGCTGCGGACGCCTCCTCCCCACAGCTGTGCGCACTCGCTCACCCTCTTCAGGCTCATCTCCTCGGTCACGTCTTGCGCGCTGGAGACAAGACTCTACGTGACACTGGTACTCTCTGAGCGGAACCAGGGATTTACAGAGGTAACACTTCTCATCCCTAGCCAAACGGAAAAAATGAAGAAAAAGCAGTTAAAAAAAAAAAGATTTGCTTTTGCCTCTATGCTCCTAGATACATCTCAAATTGTCTTTTTAAATCATAAAGTTATTCTATGGAGGAGAAATGTCAACCAAAGCAGAATCGCTCAGCAGGATCATCAATAAAATGAACTCAATGCCAATCCAAAGGACTGAGTGATTAGCGGTTTTCCCTGGCTGTTTCTTTGTATCCTGCTGTTGCAGCAGTAGGATGATAATGAAATAAGCTCTTCTAACTAACTCAAACAATGCTGATTGCTCTCCAGACATAAAATATTCTGTCAAACTCTTCTCAAATTAAGTGTAATAGTTTTTTCAAAGGGAAGTTAAAAATTTAGACAGAAAAGAGAACACCAAGAGCATTAAAATAAAAATGACATTTCTACCAGGGAGGGTGAACCTGTCTGATTAGTAAATCAAGTCTGTCTATATGCTGCCTTCCTCAATTCTACAGCTAGGAAGTTACTAAAACCATGTGGCTCTGCCACAGGCTTTTGCATAACTTCATATATATAGCTATTTTTATCTTTTTATAACATAGACTTTGTGTAAAGAGAGGAAATTGTGTCCTTGAGGTAAGGTTTATTGGCATCAGTGAAAATGGAATCCCTGGAGACAAAGGAAGAAAACGAACACTCATGAAGTATTTTCTCTGTGGTGAGAACTGGTGCAAGGCCCTTTAAACACAATTTCTCAATTAATTCCTTGGCCCAGTTAGGAAGGTACTACTCTCCCCAATGTCCTATAGCTAATAATTGTCAGAAGCCAGGATTGCCTGACTCATAAGATCATCTTAGTTTTAAGAAGCTAAAGAAAACCTTCCAAAATTTCTGGCTGTTGCGACTCGGTTACTACAGAAAGATTTAGACTGCCTTTAAGAAAAGTTTCTCTGAGAGGTCTTTAAAATAGGAGAAATAAGTCTCTCAAGTAATTAATCATCAGAAAGACTACAAGTGAAACTCTGCTTTATGAGAAAAGTTAGACTAGTGTACCTTTCAAGATTTATCCATTAATGCAAAAAGCATTATTAATACCCTACTTACACGAGAGAAGCAGCACTGTAAAAGCAGCATAAGTTTTTGAGTCAGGTAGACTTTGCCAGTTCTGGCTACATGATCTTAACTAGTTACCTATAATTTCTCTTCAGTTTCTATAGCTATTTTTAAAAAAGAAAAAAATACTACCATATCAACAATTGTGATAGTTATAAAGTAAATAAAGCACTCAACACAGTGGCCGGCACATAATATTAAAAGCTCAACAAAGAGGTATTACTGTTGTTGCTGTCTCACACACATTCCATTAGATGCTGGGGATATAAACACGAATGAAGGCAAGTATCTGTCTTCAAATATTAAACTCACAGCCTAGCCAGGGAAACAGAAATGTCAAAAATGAAAGAAAAAAAGATTAGTGCAATAGTGTGATGAATACAGTCCTAGAAGAATATCTGCATTATGGTAGGATTCTAAAAGAAGGAAGTGGATCGGCTCTGCTCAATTGGATTAAGGAAGGCAGCTATGAAATTTAGAATCTGAGAGGATCTGTGTTTCAAAGAAAAATGTTTCTAATTACTAACTGCTCTAATGTATTGTTGGTGATATCTTTACTTTTAGGAGGTAGTACTTATACCTGACCTCCCCCTTGCCTCTGCCTCCGCTGGGAACAAATGTGCATTCTTAGTCAAGCTGCAACCCACAACCCAAGGAAGTCTTCAATATTGCCCAATTTCTTGCAACTCAACTTCTGTACCACTACATTGCAAAATAGCTCACTGCTTCCCCAAAGCACCAAACACCAAAACGCAAATTCAAAGAAAACAGAAAGCAAAGAGCAATGTGGAAGTGGAGTGGGTGGCAGGGTCTTTTCAGAGTAACAAAAAGGGACACAAGAGGCCACCAATACTGACATAAACTGAGAATACTAAACAGAAATTCAGGCATTAAAGCAACGATTTGATTGCCTGGTCAAAGAAACCCAGGGTAAGAGAGGAACTGGTCTCTCATTTGGTCTAAGCAATGGTATGCTAAGCAAGAGGTCCGTAAACACAGTGCACCTACTTACTTGTCAACGTTTAGGGAAGTCTGAGCAGCTGTCGCACAGTCACTTCTATTCAAGGCCTCTCTTTGACTCCGAGTCAACACTTTCAACAAAAAAAGAAAGATAAGAAATTTAAAAATTAAAAAAAAAGAAAGAAAATCTGTTAGCTGGCAGTAGTCTGTAAATATAAAATGTACTGGAAGTAGAAAAGTTTAAAATTCTGTTCCAAATGGGAGAGGTGACTAGGAAACCTCTGCCTTTCTACTATAGAGAATATTACTTGCATAATATGGACTGAAACTGCCAGCTGCAAGGTATTTCCATATTTGCTAATGAGATCTATTTTTCCTCTATTTGCCATTAGATCTAAAGATCTATTCCACACCAAGAAAAGTTTTTGTGTACTACCTCAACTTGCAGCACTCAGGGGAAAGATTTAAACTTTCCCAATGAAAATTCTGTCTGGTGTGATATACGCTCTAATAAGATGCTTTTTGATACATAGCAATGATAGCTACATCTGAGTGCCCACATTAGCTCCAATCTTTATAAAACACTGGAAAGGGTTCCATTTACCAGTGAGAAAAGCAGAGCTCAGAACAGTTAACACAACCAGTCTTTTCCACTACACTAGGACCACCTCCTAATTCTAGTGAATATAGACAGCTTTAGCCCAGGTGGCATACAAATTCTTTTCTCATACCAAAAGGTATGTTTACAAAATCACACTCTCTTAAAGGGTTTTGGAAGTTAATTAACCAACTTGTTTTTCAGTCTTCATTCCTTGCAGTTAACAAGAATTATGAGCATCTCACTTCAAACCTTGCCTTTGTCCCTCTTGACACTTGAAATTCCCATGATAGAAGATTTAGAAAGGTTATCAGTTCACAAAATAACTTAGGTTGTGGAAGCAGTTACCTAGACCAGAGGTTAACAAATTTTTTCTGTACAGGACCAGACAGTAGGTAGTTTAGGTTTGGAAGGCCATATGGTCTCTGTCACAACTGCTCAACTGGGCATGAGCATTCCTATAGCAGGAAGGCAGCCATAGACAACTTTATAATGGGGTGTGGTGCATGTTAGGTAACTGCAGTCATGTCCGACTCTTTCGCAACCCTATGGACTATAGCCCATCAGGCTTCTCTGTCCATGGGATTCTCCAGGCAAGAATACTGGAGTGGGTTGCCATGTCCTTCTCCAGGGGATCTTCCCAACTCAGGGATCAAACCCAGGTCTCCAGAATAGTAGTCAGATTCTTCACCATCTTAAAACTTTATTTACAAAAACAGATGTCTGACTGTATTTGACTCTGGCAAACCATAGTTTACCTACCCTTCTAGTCCAACCTACCACTCATAAAAATGCCTCTAAAAGTATCCCTGACAAGTGATTATACAGTCTCAACTTGACTGTGTTCAATTACTGAGGAGAATTTACTTCCTCCTAGAGAAACCCATTCTACTGCTACACAACATTTCTAGCTCAATCTGCATTTATGGGCTGTATGGATACATTTACCCCCTTTTCCACAAGTCAGTTCTTTGAACATGGAACAAGTTGCATTACTTGTAACCTTCAAAACAGGTACTTTATCTAGTCATTAAGCTAATCTGTAATAAGACTTGGAATACAGACCCTTTTGAAGGCCTAGGGTAGCACTAATCCTTTTAGTGATCCTCCAGAGACTGGTATTATTATTCCGTCCTATTTTAAAGGTATAAAAATAAACTCAAAGGAATTGACTTTGCCAAGCTATCACAACTAGGAAGAACAACCCAGGACACAGTCTAGATCTGTCTGATTCTTATACCCATGTTATCTTTCGAGTTAACCTCTACATATACCCCAATCTGTTAAGTCTTCCATATGTGTGGCACCCCAAAACAGATCCAATATTCCAACAAGCAATCTGACCAGTAAAGAGAACACAAGAACCACAAGCTACCTCATTCAGACTAATTCAGCCAAGGCTGTGACAATATTGGTATTCTACTGGCTTAAACTGAACTTAAAGTCAGTTAAGATATATCCCCCTTCCTCCCAAATCATCTTCAAAATGCTATCAAGACAGGTCTCCTAATTCTATATTTGGGTAACTAAACTGTTGGGTATTTTTCCCCTTCAACAGGGCTTTATATTTATCCCTGTTCTTTTCAGTTGCACATTGCAGTCTGTTGAGATCATCTGAAGTCTTGATTCTGTCATCTAATGTTATACTAGCTCTCTGTTCCAGCTCTGCTTCATCTGCATATATGACAAGCATGCTTTCTACATCTTCATCCAAGTCACTGGGGAAAAATGGTTGTAAATGATTAGGCCAAGGACAGAGAAAACTGTGGCATGTTACCAGAGAAGCCTATCTTCCCCTAGTCCAAATTTCCTTTAAATACTTAATCAAGCAAGTATTTATTGAGAATCTTTAATGTGTGAGTAATCTGGGGAGATAACAGGAAATTATGAGGCATAGTTCTTTCTCTTAAGGAACTTACAATCTACTAAGGGAGACAGCACATACACTAAAATCACTGTAATACAATGTTAAAGAGATATGCATAATAAAACATGATCATATACAGAAGCAACTATTAATAATGTCTTGTCTCTGGGGAGGATGACAGGGACACCAGGGGACTAGAATAGGCGGTAGACATATTTTTCACTATATAGTTTTCTATACTACTGAATTAAAAATTTTAAGTAATATGCATTTACCTGAAAAAAATTAAAACTCTAATTCAAAAATATATGTATCCCTATGGTCACTGCAGCATTATTTACAGTAGCCAAGATATGGAAGCAACGTAAGTGTCCATCAATAGATGAATGGATAGAGAAGAGGTGATATGTGTATCAATGGAATATTATTCAGACATTAAAAAAAAAAGCCCTTGCCATTTGCAACAACATGGATGGACCTAGAGGATATTGTGCTAAGTGACATAAGCCAGACAGAGAAAGACAAGCACCACATGATTTCACCTATATGCAGAATCTAAAAAATAAAGCAAACAAATACAACAGAACAGAAACTGAGTCGTAGAAGCAAAGAACAAACAGGGAGTTGCCAAGGGTGGCCAGCAGGGGGCGAGGAGGGGGCATGGGCGGGAATTAGGTGAGGGAGATTAAGAAGTACAAACTTCCAGTTAGAAAATTTTTAAAAAAAATTTTTTTTAAAAGTTTCTCCCTTTTCTCTTCAAAAGGGGAAATAGAGACCAGCTTATAGTGAGGACTTAGGCACAAATTAGACTAGATGATCTACTTCTAAGTTCCCTCCAACTCAGAGATTTTGTAAGTAAAAATAAAGTACTGCAGGAGAAAAACATCCTGGACATAGTTGTATAACCACCTACAAAACCCACCTCCTGTTCTATCAGCTAACCCACATTTCTCCAACTTATGTACAAGGACTTTGAGAGATTTTATCAAGGGCCTTGCTGAAATCAATTCTTAAAAGACTAGCATTTCAGACTACATAAACCTTTAAGTGTTTGCTGCCACCTCTCTATTTGTCCCCCATCGTGACTGTCAAGTATTTTTCCAAAAGAAACACTTAGGAAACCACTCCACAAACAGGGCTGGGAAAGAAATTAATTGTTTACAGCACTTTATATTAATATGAAGGTGAAGGTGTTCAGTCACTCAGTCATGTCTGACTCTTTGCAAACCCATGGACTGTAACCTGCCAGGCTCCTCTGTCCATGGAATTCTCCAGGAAGGAATACTGGAGTGGGTTGCCATTCCCTTCTCCAGGGGATCTTCCCAACCCACGGATTGAACTCAGGTTTCCTGCGTTGCAGGCATATTCTTTACTGCCTGAGCCACCAGGGAAGCTCTCTATATATTAATTTATACCTCTGTAAATAGCACGTTTCTGTTATTTGTCAGTCGTTTTTCTATATCACAAGAACTTCTGAATCCAGAGATTCCAGATTTTTATTTGATCTCTTTACCATCCCCAACACAGTCTAGCAAAGATTAGATGTTAATAAATATTTGTCAATTTAAGTCACAGCAAGGGATTCATGGGGAAAAAGGACTCTTATTTTATGAGAACCTTTTCTGTACCAGGGACTTAATAAACATAATTGTTAATCTTTAAAATAGTCCTGCAAGGCACATATCACTATTTGTATTTTATATATGATGAAATAAACTGACCAAGATCACAAAGCTAAAACAACAACAAAGAAACATGGCACCAAGAATACAGTATGAGTCTGACTTTAAAGAAATATACGTTCTTCTCTAAGAGCAGGCTGCCTTTCCCGGGAAATAAGACAGCAAAGGATGGGAAGACAAAAAATGATAAATGGGCAGGTGGAAAAGAGATTTGGCAGATGGCTGAGAATTATATGCTAATTCTATATTAAATGTTATGATCAGAGAAGACTTGGACTGGGCCTTGCAGCTACATTTTTCCTTTGAAAACTACTACCCCTACAAAGGAGCAGAAAGGTGGTAAGTTGCTCTAAAAGAGTCTCCTACTCTGGTTTATGAGTGCTGAGAGAGCCATTTCAACTAGCTATAGGATGAGAACTCAATATGAAACTTAAATCCAAAAACTCAGTTGCTGGTGACAACAGCCAAAGATTTCAAAAGGGAACAATGGAGTCTGAGGACAACTCTAGAACAACTACCTAGGCAAGGTAAGCAAAACAGAAAGGAGGAATATCACTGAGAGCATCACCCATAAACCTACAACCATTAACTCAGGTTTTTATAAACCACTGGATGGAAAACACCCTAAGAAACTGCATTTGGGACTTGACTTGGCACTGTCAAGATACAAAGAAGCAGTGACACACAATGGAATAATGTGCATCAACTTTATAGTTGGACAAATCCATCCCCAAGTTGGGACTCTACTAGTTGTGTTGCCTTCCATAAGCTACCTAAGCTCTCTGAGTATCAGCTGACTTAACCACAAAATGACATGATAATAAGCATCTATCCCCTTGGGTTTTGGTAAGGCTCACATCAAATAATCCAAATAAGTTTAAGAGTGTTTGTGCACAGAAAGCACTCCGGTAACATTACTTGTTTATTACCATGTAATTCTTGTTATTAGTCTTCCGTATTTATTTCTTAGTCTTATCCAAAGAT